AGCGCCGGCTCCAATTCGTCGCCGGCCAAGCTGGGCGGCGGCGGCAGCAGCGCTCGGCCCAAGCCCAAGGTGAGCAAGGACATGCGCGGCCTCAGCCTCCTCGGCGAAACCGAAGCCCAGTTCCGCAAACGACAGAACTTGTGCGTCCCCGTGTGCGGTCACGCGTGTGCGGTGTGTGCCGTGTGTGCGGTGGCGCGTGCGGTGAGAGTGACAGGGGCTGGGTGGGTGGGTGGTGGCAGGGAGCGGCAGGAGAGCCAGCAGTCGCTGTACGGGCTCGACGCGGAGCTGAAGGAGAAGGAGCAGGAGAAGCTGAGCATGGCCGAGTACCGGAAGATGGTGGACGACGCCATGGCCTGGCTCGAGCAGATCCTGGGCGACAAGGGCGTCGGGGACTTCCCCGACAACCTCAAGTCCGGCCGCGTCCTCTGCGCGCTCATCAACAAGGTACACACCGCACACACGACACATACCGCACGCGCGACCGCACACGCACACGCACACACGGCACATACCGCACGCGTGACCGCACACGGGGACGCACACACGGCCGCACGCACGCGACTGACGCGATGGTGTGTGTCTGCGCAGCACTGGCCAGGCATGATCCCTCAGGTGGGCGATCGCCCCATTCCTCTGATCGAGCGGGTGCGCCACACAAACACAACTACATGCCAGAAACACGAAAACTCACAGACCGCACACGACAACACGACACGACACGACACGCGCGACCGCACACGCGCACGACAGGAAAATATCCGGTTTTATTTGGAGGCGTGCGAGAAGGTGGGGGTGCGCAAGCAGGACCTGTTTGTGATCTCGGACCTGTACGAGGAGAAGTACCTGACGGGCGTCATCCTCAACCTCTACGCCCTCGCCCCCATCGTCCAGCGCCAGTCCTCCTTCACCGGACCCACCCTCGTCCGCTACGCCTGAAGGCGCCCTTGCTTTGTAACATAAAAATAAGAAATCATTATGGTTTTTTCGATTACACTGTTTTTTACTTATATACTGTGTATATACTGTATATACTATATAATGTTGTGTTTTTTTTATTTATTTTTGTACTCAATGTCGCCTCACTTCTTCTTCAAGACGTCGGCCAACGCCTCCTCGAGCTGGGGATGCTTGAACTGGTAGCCGCTCGCCAGGGTGCGCTTGGGGATCACCTTGTGGCCCTCGAGCAGCAGCTTGGCCCTCTGTGCGTGTTGTGTTGTGAGTGTCGTGTCGTGTCGTGTCGTGAAGAATGTGCCGAATGATGACAGCCTTGAGCGGAAAGAAACGTTTGGCACCTCTGAGCCGAACATGGTCTCGATCACGAAGGCGGGCAGATGGAACTTGACGCTGGTGCCCATCGTCTTCGCCAAGCACTCGGCAAACTCTGTGTGTCGGGCGGGGGGGGGAGGATTGAGTTGTGTCTCATCACACAGCGGCCCAGTCAAGGCACATACCCTGGGCGTTCTTGGCATCGGGAGCCACGCCGTTGACCACTCCGGTCACGTTGTCGTTCACAACCGCGTGCTGCACGAAACACGCCAGACTTATGTAAACACACCGCACACGCGCACCGCACACACCGCACACATCGCACGGCCGCCACACATTTGAATTTGGGGCGGACCTCGTAGAGGCCCACGATGTCGTCGAGGTGGACCCACGGGAAGTACTGTCGCCCGTCGCCCATCACGTTGCCCATCCCGAACTGGAACGAGGGCAGCATCGACGCCAACGCTCCGCCATCGCGGCCCAGAACTATGCCGGTCCGCACCTTCACCACCCTCGTCTGCGTTTCCGCACACGCACCGCGCACCGCACACGCACAGATTAGAGACCGCACGCGCACACGCTTCAGCGGCACTCACGGCCCGCGTCAGGTGCACGCACGGCGTCGGCGGCCTCGTCCGCAGCGCCCTCCCAGGCCTCGGTCAGTTCGCCGAACCAGGAGTCGGCGCGGGGCGCGTGGTCCTCGTCCACCTCCGGCCCGGGTACGCCCGTTCGGGTAGTACCCCACCGCCGACGCCGACACGAACACCTTGGGCCGCTCCGCCTCGTTCATCTTGCCGATGGCCCGCGCCTGCGTGCATGCGTCGATTATAAGTTGCGTGTGCGGTGTGTGCGGTGTGGTGGCGCATGTGCGGTGTGTGCGGTGTGTGGCGTGTGTGTGTTGTGCGACTGTACGATGGCCTTGTTGGTGTTGATGCGCGAGTCCCAGACCTCCTGGCGGTAGGCCTGAGTCCATAGCAGCTTGCCCATCAAGTTGGCACCCTGCATTGATCGCACGACACGCACGACACGGCACGACACGACACCGCACACGCTCGTTCGGCATCTGACCGCATCGGCACAGCACCGCGGGGGGAAGGGGCTGCGTCGTACGGCGAGGTTGATGACAGCGTCGCACGGCGGCAGCCCGGCCTTGTCCACCTCTTCCCACGACAGCCCTCCACTTGCGCCCTACAATTCCAGTACATAAATAAATAAGATGAAAACAAAGTATAATTATATGTAATTATTATAATAAAGGTATATAGTTAAATTTTAATTGATAAATAGATTACGTACGGTGCGGGAGATGAGGCGAAGGGAGTGTCCGCGGCTGGCGAGGTGGCGCGTGAGTGCGGACCCTATGAAGCCGGACCCACCACCCACCAGCACCCGCAGTCCTTCGCCCGTGCTCTTCTTCATCTTTATCGATCTAGTGTGCGTGTTGTGTGTGCAGCTTGTTTGCTGTTTGTGGTGCGATTTGCTTTCTTGGTAAAGTGGTGTGTGCGTGTGCGTGCGTGTTTTGTGTGCGTTCGCTCGTGTCGTGATCACGCAGGCAATTCGCCGGCATTTCCTTTTTGCTCTAAGGAAACTAAAAGGAAACAGATTTTCTTTTCTCGTTGTTGGCGCTTCGCTCTACATGAGGAAGAACTTGACGCCAGCCTCGTCGCTCTGGTGGCCCGAGAAGACCTGCAGGTCATTGTGTTGACATTGGAGTTGATGTTGTGTGAATGACCATAGCATGGTACCAAAGTTGTAATAACATGTTAACAACATTGGAAAAGAGGAAGTAGACAAAGGTGAGCGTACTTGACACTTGGCCTGCTTCTCCAGCGCCTGCAGAGCCTTGAGCAGCACCTGCCCGTCGAGGTTGTGGAACTCTGGGGTAAGGCAAAGCGTACGCCAATGAACGGTATTACTATTAGTACGAGCAACGGTGGAAGCCAGCAGGCGCGTACAATCGCACGACACGCACAACCACCCAACCACTTCACAAAACAGCACCAACACACAACACAAGAGATGAATGAAACCTTCGCCTTCGGTGCTGTCTCCCTCTCGTAGCTCGTAGACGGTCATCACCGTGTCCGTCAGTCCGCTGTTGCACACCTGTTGCGATGAATGAATCCCACCATCCACGAACACCCGGTCCAAGTCAGAACGCGATGATGGTTGGCACAAAGTGATGCCTTTGCGGGCTCGAGCGATGTACTGTGGTGTATTCTCTACCTACCCATTTGTAGATGATTTCGCCCCACTGGGCGGGACTTCGCCACAGGACGGTGAACCGCCGCTTCTCCTTGTCCATCCATTCACCGTTTCCTGCGCGCGCCAAAGACAGAACGGAAGTTGGCATTGCACCGGCACCACCGTGTAGTGGTTGTGTGTCGTGTGCCGTGTGCGGCCATGCGCGTGCCGTGTGTCGTGCGTGGCACCTTGCTTGGCCAGATCGTCGAGAATTGTGCGGATGTGTTCGGGCGCCAATCGTCCTGCGTGGTAAAGGTGCAAGGGTGAGCAGCTGAGATGGCACACGGGGCGATTGAGCTGAACGAACGGTTGATGGCAGAGTTGACGAAGAGAGGCGAGCTCGCAGCTTCGTCGACGTCGAGCTGATACAACTTGAAGTGCCGCGTGAAGTCCAGTATGAGCTGGTGATGGGTGCAAGTTGACACACGTGGCGGGCGGTCAGTCATCTTCAAGTGCACGGCACAAACAACGGTGCCAAGTGCACCGTACGTTCTGCCACATGGCCATCTGCTTCTTCCGTGTGTTCAGCACTGGCTGGACCCTGCGCACATTCGATTGTTTTCGTTCACAAATGCCAAAGAAAAATGCTTCTTGATGTGGCAAGGAAGGAGGGGCGTACGTGAAGAAGGGCGGACTGGAATAGAAGGGTGGAAATGTAAAGTCTCGGTAGGTGGCCTGCTGCATCCTTTCTGTACTATGATTTTATTCATATCGATCTTTTATTGCTTACGTCAGCACGAAAAGCCAAGATTAATTGAATTGATTATTTGTTCGCGATTGGAAGAGAAGATGCATTCGTTGTTGATGCGCGCCAATGCCATATTCTGCTACGCCTTGGTGGTGCTAGCGGTGTTAGTGGGGTGCAACATCGGCACATCCTACTTCATCCCCACGAATCCTGAAGTCCATTTTGCAGTGACATCGCTGCAGGTCTTCCAGCGGCATCCAACATTGCAGAACGATGTGTTATCGTTGACGTTCGATCTCAAGGCCGACCTGTCGAGCCTCTTCCACTGGAACACCAAGCAGCTGTTTGTCTACGTCGCGGCTGAGTACGCCACGGAGCGCAACGCCGTCAA